GACATGTTACCTGTTGATTCTGAGTCAGACGACGAGGACCTCTTGCAGCCAGAACGGAACCCGGAGCGTTGTGACTCTGATGATGAAATTCCACCACGGGAAAGGTATGTAATCTCTCTGTTTTTATCTATTACTTAGTTATTTGGTGTACGATTATTCATATAGTTAATAAATAATAATACAGCGCTATAATAAAACTATTATTTTCTGCCTTGCTCATGAGAGTAACAGCTGGCGAAATTACAGCCTCGCCTACTGATTTTAATTTAACCATATATCGATCGTCGATTTCAAATGTGTGCTCTAAAATGGTGTTTATAAATGACTATTATCATTATTATAAGCAAGACAATAAATGGCAAAAATATGTAGAAAATAAACTTATTTAGTTGGAGTTTAGTTCTTGGCCTTCACACACAGTTTAGTTAGTTGGCCTTCACACACTCAAAATGGCATGTTTACTGCCAAGGAAACAGGAATTACAGGAATTAATCTAATCTCTTTGTTTTTCCACATTTCTTTTCATAGTGATGGAGATGAGGATGAAATGGCTTCACCACTGCCTACTTTCACCCAGCCCACACCTGCCACACCTGCCTCACCATCACATTCCTCCAGAAAGAGATCTGCACCAGTATTGGCCACTCAGCCTGCATCCAAAAAGCCCTCACTTCCAAAGCTACCATCGTCTGGTTTCTACCAGCTTTCTGCAGCGTCAGATGCATCTGTCAACCAAAGGAAGCGTGGCCGAGGTGGGGCTCCCGCTCCTCAGCCAGGAAAAGGAAAAGCATCAGATAAATGTGTAAAACGCAGGAAGCGTGGCCGAGGTTCTTCCTCTTCCAGAATGACAGAAGAAGAACTCGGGTGGCACAACAGAGAGGAGAATGACCAAACACCAGAGCCACTGAATTTCACACCAGCAAGGGTCCCAGGCCCAGCGCTCGACCCCACTGTAGCATGGTCTCCCCTCTCCATTTTCAGACTTTTTTTTAGCGCTTCAGTGGTTCATACAATCATTTCCAACACGAACGCCAACGCCCTGAAAAGACTGCAGGCTGGAAAGAAGCATGTTTGGAAAATGCTGACTGTGAGGGATTTCTATGTTTTCCTGTCCATTATAATTTTCTCAGGCCTCGTCACCGTTCCCAACCGATCGGACTACTGGAGGAAGAAATGGCCATATAACTTCAAATTCCCAGGTGATTCGATGTCCCGGGACCGCTTCGGAGCCATCATGTGGTCACTGCACCTGAGCAACCCTGAAGAAGATGAGGAAAACGTTCGCAAAAGGAACACCGCTGAGTACGACAGACTTTTCAAAATAAAGCCCCTGTACACAGACATCGTTACTGCCTGCAAAGCACATTTCCAGCCCCATCAAAACATTTCAATAGATGAGAGGATGGTCGCCTCAAAGGCCCGCATCAGCATGAAGCAGTACATGAAGGATAAACCAACTAAGTGGGGATACAAACTGTTTGTGCTGGCGGATTCCTCCACGGCATACACATGGAACTTCAATGTGTACACAGGGAAGAGTACGTTCTTCTCAGGCCAGGGACTCAGCTACACCTCCGTGACCGACCTCCTGCCCCTCCCTCTGCTCGGTGCGGGCTACACACTCTTTGTGGACAATTTCTACACTAGCCCTGCCCTCTTTGGGGATTTGGCCAAAAGAAACATTGGCTATTGTGGGACCATTCGAAAAAATCGAGTTGGTTTCCCACAGACGGAGTTGAATGGCCTACCAAAGAAGGCTGAAAGGGGAGAACTGCGGTGGATAAGGGAAGGCAAACTCCTATTCATAAAGTGGATGGACAGCCGTGAAGTGACCATGTGCTCCACAGTGCACGAGGCCTTCAGCGATCAGACGGTCCAGCGGAAAGTGAAACAGGCTGGTGTGTGGCAGACTAAGACTGTTCCCGTTCCTGACGCTGTGTTGGACTACAACAGAAGCATGGGCGGCGTGGATGTGTCTGACGCTTTGATCGGGTACTACAGCGTTCTCCACAAAACTATGAAATGGTACAAGACTTTTTTTTACCATTTTGTGGACATTGCAGTGGTGAACAGCTTCATTTTCCACAAGGAGCTGCACAAGATGACGAGTGACCCCAGCAGGACAAAGCCACACACCCAGAAGACTTTCAGGGAGCAGCTTGCTGCAGAAATGTTGGAATTTGGAATTTGGAACACCCCCTTTTAGAAGTGAAGATATAGTCTTTGTTGTGTAAGTGGCATTTTCGAGCCTGAAAGCTGAAAAACAGGCTCAGGGCTTAACAGGTTAACCTGTTAAGCCCTGAGCCTGTTTTTCAGGCCTCAGACTCGAAAAATGACATTCCCAGAACAAATGACTATAACTTCGCTTCTAAAAGGGGTAAATTAATAATCTTTTTTCTCAAAGCAATGATAAACCTGTAAGTTGGATGTAGAATAGTGAGAATCAATATAGAATTTTTTTTTATTTGAAAGTAAATTCAGATTGAACATAGTAAAAAATGTTTAATTATAGTGTCCGTACAAAAAAAAAACATTACTTATAGTGAAAACCCCCCTTGAATGATGGGATCGGAGACTAAAAGCTTTAGGAATCCAAACTATAACATATAAGTACCCTGTATCAAGATCGATGCAAAACAAGTGACATTTTACCTTCTTAGAGAGGTTTAGCACAAAAAAAAACACTTCTGGGGTCATTTGGGTGGATTTTCCATATCTCCGGCCCCCCTCGGTCAATTTTGATGATTGAAACCTCTTTTTAACCGTTAAGGCCCGGACACAACAAGCCAATTTTGGCCGTCGATGGGCGTCAGGCCGTCCATGAGCGTTGACACACCCTACTCAGATTGGTGTGTCGTATCTTTTCAGCTGTGCCGACACCTTTTCGGCCGAAAACAGTAGTCTTTGGCAGTCGGCCAAAGGCTGTCGGCCAAATAAATCACTCTGATTGGCTGTTCAGCTAGCGAATCAGTGCATGAGAAGCGAAACGGAAGTAAGGGACCCAAACAAACTATTAAGAAGGCAAATCTGAGATTTCATTTAACTCCAGCTCTGGACACAGGTTCGGGAAAGCCCCATGAGCTTCTCGTTGAGTGAAAATGGAACGCACACGCTATTTGTTGTTTGTTCAATAATCCATCACTATATTTATGTCAATAACGGAGTTTTCACATTAGCTGCTATGAGAGTGTATGACAGCTTCCGGTTTTGGGCATTCTGGCTACGCATCACTCATTCACCAATGAGTAATGTTTAGATGGATTTTAGGAACTTCCCCTCGATTATATTGGCTCTAAAGGCCCGGACACACTAAGCTGACACCAAAGAACTGACACAGATGGACCCCCGACTGTTGTGTCGCCTCGCGTCTCTGCGTCTTGGCCATGTGTCGCACTGGAACACACCGCAAAGACTTCAGCCGACTGCCAAGAAGCACGTACGAACTGCGCATGCGTGAGTGGCAATAACTCTCCTTACCAGCAGGCGGCGGTAGTAGTGTATTCGTAAAACTACGTGGTGTGATGTCTGGGTTTGCTTCCCCTGGTGCGAGTTTTGATCGCTCAGTGATGATACTTGTATTTCTAGAATCTGTGGAATCTCAGCTTGCTAGCTGATATATTGTTTGCAGATCTGAGTAATAAGGTAATATTTTACCGTGAGTTCTTTGCTAAGTGCGTTAGCATTTTTTCGCTCAGGGCTAATTCAGAGCCTTTGTATTACCCTTGTGTTTCGTTTAGCTAACAATGGTTAATATTGTCTGATAGCTGAGTTTCTTCCCGTTAAGTGGGTATGACACATTCATAGTTTGTTAAAGGTCCCATGTCATGGCCATTTCTACTGATCATAATTCCATTGTTGAGGTCTACTAAAATAGATTTACAATTTTCCAAACACACATTGGTATCTCATACAGCATCTCTGTATAGTATGTGTATTCACTCTCTGTCCTACACGGCTTGTTGGAGCTCCTGCCCCCCCCCCCCCCCCCCCCCCCTCCCTGTGAGTCCACTGTGCTCTGATTGGTCAGCTCGCCCACTCTGTTCTGATGAATCCACCACCGTTACAGTGGAACATCAGTGATTATGTGTTACGATGGCGTTAGTTAGCAACCAGAAAATGACACCAGTAATGACAAACAGATGAGAATGCTGCGTGGGGTCTGGGTGCCGCCGTCTCAGGCTGAGAAATCCGCGGAGCTGCAGCTGAAAAAAGATTGAGTGTGTGAGGAAGTCCATTGGTCAATTTGGACCAATCCGCGGACATAACGTAACGGCTCTGCGGACGTAACATAACGGCTCCGCGGATTGGTCCATTTGGACCAATGAGTCCATTTTGGTCGTCGTTACGTCACTTGGTACCAGGAAGAAAAAGAGAAATCTCCAACGAGGCGTTCTGGGGCAGCATAGACAGGCCTTTTCTGTGTTAGAGTTGTACTCGCTACAGGGTGTACTTTGAGGGTTTGTGACTCTGCAGATCGTTTACATGCATAAAAAGCTACATAACACACAAGGGCACGGGTAATAACTGGAAAAGAATGACATGGGACCTTTAAATGTTAAGAAGCCCTCAGACGCTGTTTCTTGCAAGATGTTGCGTTTTGCCCCCGCGAAAATGTCATTGCAGTATCATTACTTTTACATAAGAAGGTGCTGTACATTTTTCTGTTAATACTTGTGAACGTTTACTTAAATAAGGTTTGAATGCAAGATTTTAATTTGTAACGGAGTATTTTCATTCTATAGGCATAGTGTATCTGTGAACGATGCCAAATACAATTCGTTGTTTACATTGCAGCTACTGCTAAACTGGAACTGGAAAGGGGCTGGGCTACAGAAGGTGAATTGAGACAACAAAAATACACAATAGGTGGGACTAAAAGATAATATGAAAGTAAAAACAAAGGCATTAATTAGGGCTGCAAAATATCTCCCATTTTAATGGTGATCAGATTTTGAAATGCTAATACTTAACCGTTATTTCTGACTGTGTGTTTCCTGTTACCTGCAGACGTCCAGCTACTGGTGGTGGTTAAAGAAGAGGTTCTCCCTGACCAGCAGGATTGGAGCACCAGTCTGAACCAGGAGGACCCAGAGCCCCCCCCACACATTAAGCAGGAACAGGAGGAACTCAGGATCAGTCAGGAGAGAGAGCAGCTTCAGGAGCTGGAGGAGGCTGATATCACCAAGTCCACTTTCACTCCTGACCCTGTGAAGAGTGAAGATGATGAAGAGAAACCTCAGTCCTCACAGCCTCATCAAAGACAAACTGAACACATGGAAACAGAAGCTGATGGAGATGACTGTCGAGGACCAGAACCAGCCAGGAACTCAGATCCAGAGAGCAGTTTACAACCAAAGACTGAGTACGCCACTGGAGACTGTTCTGAACCTGACACTGGAGACTCTACTGAACCTGATACTGAACACAGTGCTGATTGGAAGGAGACCAGAGAATCTGCTTCAGCCTCAAAATCACTGAAAAATAGACAAGAATCTCTCATTGATTCAAGCCGTAGTGCTGGAAAGAAACAATTTGGCTGCTCTGTGTGTACCAAATCTTTTGCATGGAGTCAAAATTTAAAGGAACACATGAGAATCCACACAGGAGAGAAACCCTTTAGCTGCTCGGTTTGTACCAAATATTTTGCATTGAGTCAACATTTAAAGACACACATGAGAATCCACACAGGAGAGAAACCATACAGATGCTCAGTCTGTAAGAAATCTTTTTCACAGAGTGGAAGTTTAAAGGAACACATGACAATCCACACAGGAGAGAAACCCTTTAGCTGCTCGGTTTGTACCAAATCTTTTGCATGGAGTCAAAATTTAAAGACACACATGAGAATCCACACAGGAGAGAAACCCTTTAGCTGCTCGGTTTGTACCAAATCTTTTGCAGTTAGAGACAGTTTAAAAAAACACATGAGAATCCACACAGGAGAGAAACCATACAGATGCTCAGTCTGTAAGAAAGCTTTTTCACAGAATATACATTTAAAGGAACACATGAGAATCCACACAGGAGAGAAACGATACAGCTGCTCAGTCTGTAAGAAAGCTTTTTCACAGAGTAGAGGTTTGAAGACACACATGAGAGTTCACACATGAGAAAAATCTGTCTGACTGGATTAACATTGTCGCACAACATTCATAAAATACTTAAGTGAACTCCATCTTTATCAACATAAGTGGACAATATGTTTAATGTTTTTGTCATACTGATTTTCTGATTCATACATTAACCACTGACTGTTGATGAACCATTTTATTTTGCATTGAGGGCTCCAAGTTTCCATATAGAGATATAGGATGATTTGATGCATTGTTCTTTATTTCTAAATGTTTGGTATCATTGCTATCCTGTTAATGAGCCCTGTTTTACATAAATGTACCTGTTATCTGATTGTTTTTGCCTCTGTAACTGTAAGGGAAGTAGGGCTGCACGATATATCGTGTCGTGAGGATAATCACGTTATGCGCATGCAGGACGATTTTTTATTTAATTTAATTTATTTTTTAGGACGTGCGATAATAAGTCGGCAAATTAACTCAAACACGTCATATTACAATTATTTTGCTGCTTGTTACAAAATGAAAACTCGCGCGGCTCTCATGTCAGGGGTACTTGAGTGAGTGACATGCAGGCTCTGCATGCACAGCAAACCACCAATCACAATCATTCTTGATCAGATCACAGCAGGATAACCGAGCTAGCTCAGCTTGTTGCTCTGATAACTTAAGATCCAGAAGTCTGACTAAAATCCTTCATCCGGTTAAATATCGTTAAAAAAAGACCAATTGTATAGCATGAAAGTTCAAGAAAGGATAGCTTGCGGACAAAAAAAAACTGTCTTTTCTTCAATTCCTGTATTGTTTCATATCGCAATATATATCGCAGAGGAAAAAAATATTGCAATGTCAGTTTTTTCCAATATCGTGCAGCCCTAAAGGGAATACATTTGCCTATTTTGTATCCTGATGACCTAATGCCGTTACATGTAATACGTTGCTCTCTAAGCCTGATTTCACCCACCTGCAACCGATTCGCTAATAATCACAAATGTTCATTTCTTTGACCCCTTGACTCGACTATTTCTTGTTTAATAATCGTTACATGTCCTCAGGACCAAGTTCCCGTTTCCTGCCTTTCACCTGCTGATCACCCACTGCTCATTTAAGGTGGACTGACCTTTACAATGGACCAGCTAGTCTTATGGCGCATTTCCACCACACGGTCGGCCTCGGCCTCGCTCGGTACTGCTAGGCCGTGTTGGGCCTTGTTAGGGCCGGCTCACTTCATGCTGCGCTTCCATTACAGTTTAGGAACTGGGGTAGTATTGTGACGACCCCTGCCTTGTTGTCTCCTGTGGTGTGCATGGCCCTTTAATGTTTCTCCTCTGCTTGAGACGCCCTGATTGGGGACACCTGACGCCCTGATTGAGGACACCTGACGGCTGGCGGAGGATTAAGAGGCCTGGGCCAGAGTCTTGTGGCGCGTTTCCACTACACGGCCTCGCTCGGCCCCGCTCGGTATGGCTGGGCCTCGTTAGGACTGGCTCACTTTACGGCGCATTGCCATTACAGTTTAGGAACTGGGGCAGTATCTATAGTAACGCAGTGTAGGCGGAGCCGTGACGTGGTCTTCAGAGGACCCCAGAAAAACAACACAGCCGTTAGCTGTTAGCACTCAGAGCTCACAGCTCCTCATATATGTTCAGAAACTAGACAAAAGTTAAACAAGTACAAACCACAGACTGCCTGTGTCATGGTGAATACAGTCGCTGCTTTATTTATGTCTGTATAGGCCGTTGTTGTGAGTGTGGACGGTCGGGGCATATACTGCGTTAGCTTAGCCAATCTCCATTTAGAAAACAAGCATTTTAAAAGGTTTTTCCCCTGCCGTCTGTCTGCAGACTTGACAAAGCATTAATTCATTGTTTTTACTAACCGGTATCAGTATGTTGTTACTTCAGCATCATTTTGAAACGTGTATTACAATTAAATCACGGTCAAATATGTCCATCTTGTTGTAGTTGTTGCCCCCTTGCCAGCGACGCTCTCTCTAGTTTAGCATACTCAGCCCGACTCAGCCTCGTTGCCTCTGGCCCTGGCCCCACGATTTTATGAGGCCAGAAAAACTGTGAATTAGGACCCGCCGGCCGGTACTAGGCCAAGTGGAAACGCAACCAAAGACGGGCCGCTGACGTCACAGCCCTCTTAAACCGGGCTGCGGGCTGTAGTGGAAACGCGCCATTAATCTCTCTCTCCCCGCAGAGGACCGGACCTCGGAGAGCAGCCACGTCGCCTATGTTTTTTTGCTTTGCTTTTTTGTTTGTCTTCGGACACATTAAGTTTTGCTAAATAAATACCTTTTTTACATATTCTTGTCCTTCCCACGCTTTTTTGTTATGGCTAAGAGCCAGGCCATGACAGTATCTATAGTAACGCAGTGTAAGCGGAGCCGTGACGTCATTGTTGTGGAGATCCAGCATAACACAACAGGAAAGAATGAAACCGAGAGGAATCAATAAAACACAAACACAGATATAGCTGATAAGTAATTATTATTTAGTTGTTGCAACAAACAAACAATAATGGGAAGTACATCACCTGCTGCCACAGCAGCCAATGGCAGAAATGCCCCCAAGAACAGAAGAAATACAGGGCTATATATACTTTTCTAAATGACACACGAACATGTTCCCCAAACATGTTTAACACACACACATTGTATCATGCAGCCAACCACACAAATGTCACATGTTTTTCTCTCTGAAAGCTATACCTGTATATATTTAAACGTCATCATCTCATGACATCTTTAGGATTAGTTAACTAACAAAGGTTAACTGTTTTTATAACCCGAGGCCTTCTCTGAACTTCCTATACCCTCGGTGTCAGCTCACTTAAAATGAATACATCTATTGATAATTCAGAACGACCATTGTCTCTCTAACTGTGTGTGACCCAACACAGTAACACACATCATATGGAATACCATGTGATCATTAATGAATATCAGAAATACGCTGTATTAAACATTCTGCCATAACATCATCTTCAATGAGAACCCCAGAAAAACAACACAGCCGTTAGCTGTTAGCACTCAAGCTCACAGCTCCTCATATCTGTTCAGAAACTAGACAAAAGTTAAACAAGTACAAACCACAGACTGTCTGTGTCATGGCGAATACAGTCGCTGGTTTAATTATGTCTGTATAGGCCGTTGTTGTGAGTGTGGACGGTCGGAGCATATATTGCGTTAGCTTAGCCAATCTCCATCTAGAAAACACGCGTTTTAAAAGGTGTTTCGCCTGCCGTCTGTCTGCAGACTTGTCAAAGCATTAATTCATGGTTTTTACTAACCGGTATCAGTATGTTGTTACTTCGGCATCATTTTGAAACGTGTATTACAATTAAATCACGGTCAAATATGTTCATCTTGTTGTAGCCCCCTTGCCAGCGATTCTCTCTCTAGTTTAGCAAACTCAGCCCGACTCAGCCCTGTTTGTTGGCCCCGATAGAACCACGATTTTGTCGGGCCAGAAAAGAGGTGAAAAAGTAGCCCCGGGCCGGAACTAGGCCAAGTGGAAGCGCAACCAAAAACGGGCCCGGCACGACAGGGCACGCTTAAACCGCGCTCCGCGCCATGGTGGAAATGCATTAGTGTCTTAATGCAAACGTTTTGTAAAGTGATGCTCGACCAAAAACGTGCTGTTGGGTTGTGTGCTCTCTGCAGGACAGTGTCTGTACTCAAAGATTGTTTATGAAATGAAAGCTTTACTCTGTTTTTGTTGTCCAAACGACGCCAACAGAACGATACGTCTTCTTTCCAGCAGATGGCATAAATGTTACATCATCCAGTTCAACTGTCATCCACATATTAATAATTCAAGAAATGTGTAAGATATGGCTAGTAATTGACTATTTCAACTAGGGCTGTCAAGTTAACACGTTAATAACCCCACAAATTATTTTAACGTGCGATTAACGCATGTATATTTGTCCTCGGCCCGCCCCGTAGTTTCAGAGCCCAAAGGCTTGACGTTGTTGTGGTTAGTTGGATGGTGGGAGATTCTAGCGAGAGATATGGATAAAAAGAAAAGGTGTTTTAAACAGCAAGCCAAGCCCACAGCTGATGCTGACAGCCAGGCGCGCCGGATTCATTTTAGAAGTGGGGGGGCCCAAAAAGTGCGTGTGTATGTGTTGTGTTGAGAATATTCAGGAGAATATTTGTCATTGTTCCAATGATAATAAACAAACATTTGCATAAAGCAAATTTGTCCACTCATATGTTGATAAGAGTATTAAAAACTTGAAAAATATCCCTCTAAGGTACATTTAGAACAGATACAAAATGTGCGATTAATCGCGATTAAATATTTTAATCTACTGACAGCCCTCATTTCAACCAAATGTGAAGAGGTTACAGTTTTCAGGCCATGTCCAATATGTTTATGTTTTGTTTGATTAAATCTACTGAAATTGGCATTCAATACAAATGTATTGCACAATAGCTGTGCTTTATTTTAACTGAGCTATGCCTGTGGCAAGCTATTAACAGGCATTACACTGTGCCTTGTCTTTCTCTTTTTTAGTGTAGTGGAGCCTCACTTAGAGCGTTTACCGCGATCCATCTTTGGTGTTATGAAGTGACTGAGCACGTGAACTGTCTACGGGAGGGCGGGGGGAGCCTCGCTGCGGGGCAACTGTGGACCTCTGTCGCCTGTCAGCGCAACTTACAAATTTCGCGTTCGCTTGATGCTAGGCGATCCCTCGCCATGGAACACGATGATGTCATAACACCAACTGACATACTCAGAACGCCACCAAACTTCACATGATGGTTAACACTGCGGCCCTGAACAGCTCTACGTCAAATTTGATGTTACTTAATATGGCGTTACCATGGCAACGCATCCCTCGCCATAAAACACGGTGTCGCTGTAACTCCAATGAACACGGTCCCATCGTCCCCCAATCTTCACTTTTATATCACCGGTCCATGCCTCAACAGCTCTACGTGAAATCTGAGATCTCACCGTATGCCGTTTCCATGGCAACGCATCCCTCGCCATAAAACACAATGTTGTCTTAAGTCAATGGAAAATGGTCCAAACTGCACCACACTTCAGATGATGGCTAATGGTCCGGCCCTCAACAGCTCTATGCCAATTATGGGATGTCATTATATGCCGTTTCCATGGCAACGCATCCCTCGCCATAAAACACAATGTTGTCTTAACTCAATGGAAAAGGTTCCAAACTGCACCAGACTTCAGATGATGGCTAATGGTCTGGCCCTCAACAGCTCTACGTGAAATCTGAGATCTCACCGTATGCCGTTTCCATGGCAACGCATCCCTCGCCATAAAACACAATGTTGTCTTAAGTCAATGGAAAATGATCCAAACTGCACCAGACTTCATATGATGGCTAATGGTCCGGCCCTCAACAGCTCTACACCAATTATGGGATGTCATCATATGCCGTAGCCATGGCGACAGATCCCTCGCCATGAAACACTGTGTTGTCCTAACTCACT